AATATCCCATAACATGAATATGAGCTCTCATAATAGTGTTGCATACATTGTGTAGGCTTTCTTGATTTTTTAAAATTCTTTTTTTCTTTTTTCTCCTCTTACTGGGCAATTTCAAATGACCTGTTTTTAAGTTTACTTATTCTTTCTTCTGCTTGATTGAGTCAGCTGTTGAAGCTCTCTATTGCATTTTTAAAATTCAGTCATTGTATTTTCAAGCTCCAAAATTTGTTTGGTTCTTTTTGTTTTCTATCTCTTTGTTGAACTTCTGGTTTTGTTCTTCTATTGTTTTCCTGATTTAGTTAATTATCTGTGTTCTCTTGTAGATCACTGAGTTTCTTTAGAACAATCAGTTTGAATTCTCATCAGGAATTCAATGGTATTCTTTGGAGTTGGTTACTTACTGACAGTGTATTATGTTGCTTTGGTGCTACCATATTTCCCTGATCTTTTATGATGCTTGTAGTCTTGTGAAAGTGTATGAGCATTTGAAGAAAGAATCACCTTTGCAGACTTTATGAACTAGATTCATGAAGGAAAATTCTTCACCCATGGGGAGGTAAGGGTGAGAGGATAGGTAATGCTGGAGAGCACTGTGACACCATGTTTAGTGCCTAGTATATGGTGGCTCCAGGTCTTAGAGAGGGATGCAATGTCTTATTGATTCAGGTAGCTGGAGTCTGTAACATTTGCAGCTGTATGCTCCTTAGTGTGGCAAAGGCTGTGGGAGGTCCACAGTGGCTGACAGGACTGCAGGTATATTCAGCCGTGTCCTGGGTCCAGTGACAAAGGACTGGTCTAGGGAGCAGGGAGAGTCAGGGCCACTGCTGTGTTCACACTCAGCTATGGATATGCACATAATGGTTAGGGCTGGGGCAGAGCCAACTGCAGTGATATGGTGGTTGGTGGCATGTACATGCATGACTATAGGAGTCAAGGCTCATGGCATACACATGTGCAATTGTAAGGATGAGCTGTAGGAACCTATGTGGTGATGGGGGCCACCAATGGGAGTTAGGCCAGCTACATATGCATGTGCAGCTATAGGGATCAAGCTGGAGGTATACATGTGTGCAGCTGCAGGGAGCAGCTGCAGGTACAAGCACAGTGGTAGGGACCAGGGATAAAAGTTGGGGCTTGCACGCATACAGCTGTTGGAGCCAGGGCTGGTGGTAAGCACGGATGTGGGCACAGAAGCCAGATACAGGCATATTTTCAGCTGCTAGACCTGGTGATGGGGGTTGGGGCCAGCTGCTTGGCTGCACACAGCTAAGAGCTTCACCACAGGTTCACACATGGTGGTGACAAATGAATATTTGGCTGGAGCCCAGGCCATTTTGGGGCATACATGTAGTGGCTGCCCTGGGTTCCTGGGTTGGGGTGTCTACAATGGCAGCAGCCAGGGCAGCTTTGGGGAGAGAGGATGAAGAGATGTGGTAACTCAAGCACCTAGAAACTGCAAAAGTGAAAAACTGTGGGGTCCTCAGCAAAAATTGTGAGGGCCCCTGTGGCTGTACTGGTTGTTGGTTTTCTCAGTGGCAGAAGCTGCTGAGTTCCACAATGGCAAACAATGTGGGGTCCTTGGCAGTGAAAGCCAGTCAGGGGTGTGTGGTGACTATGAGGCTCTTGAGATCCTGAGGGTAGAAGACAGCTGGGGTCCTATGCAGAGCATCCACTAGGGACCGTGGTGGCTCCTGCCACATGGCTGATACTGGTAGCCCCACCCTTCTTTGTTCCCAGATGTCTCCAAATGTTTCAGCCATGCGGGGTAAAACTAAAACAGATCATTTTGGGGAATGTTCTGAAAGCTTAGGAAACTGGTTGTTCATCTCATTATCCTTTTCTCTTCAAGGGTAACTTCAGAGCTGAGAAGTTCTCTCTCTGTGCTAAGCAATGCTGGCCTGGGGGATGAGATGATGCATGCAAAATGAAACTGCTCTTCCTACTTTTTTTGTGCAATTATCCTCATTATTTTTCTTGCACTGTGTTGTTGTATCATCTCAGCTGGACTCCTGAGCTCTCCTACAACTATTTTCTTTCATAGATAGCTGTCTGATTGTACTTTGTAGGGGGATGAAGGCTGGGATCTCCTTCTCTGCCATTTTGCTGACATTGCCCCATACTTTGTGTTTGCAAACTTAGATACCACCGCCATGCACCCTGTAAATTATCACTGAGGAGGTGCAGTCTGATGGAAAGGCTTTGAGGTTCACACTCAGGAGACCTGGGTTAAGTTCTAGCTCTGTCACCACTGTGACCGTGTTATTAGGCTAGCTCTTTAGGTTTTAGGATTCAGTTTTGAGGACCCAAGCTCTGCTTATCTCAGCAACACTAGCCAGCAGATGAGGCCATCTCAAATAGATCTAGAACTTCCCAAGACGAAGGCAATATGATGAACTCATAATTTACCTTCTCATAATTTAAGCCTGGTAAATAAATCTCATGTCCCAATAACCCAGGTAAATATTTAATAATTGTGGCACCATTAATTGAGTGCTCTCTCTGTATGCTAGATACCCTGCAAACATTATCCCCACACACTGCTTCTCCTTGAGTCCTCATCATCTCACAATGAGGTAAGGCCTGATACTGCCGTAATTTCATGGGGAGGAATTCAAAGGGAGGGAGTCTGAGGGCGTCTGGTAGGAAGAGGGGTAGTCTCTAGTTAAAGACAGTCAGGTTGACTCCACATTGTGTCTCCTATTCTCCCTGCTGCCATTCTTACCCCACCAGCAAAGAGCCTGGCAGGTTGGAGGGGCCAGGAGACACCTATCTGAAGCCATGTGGTAGAGGAAACCTAGGCCTCAATGAGCAGGCTCGAAATTCAGCAGCGCTTTCCTTATGAGCATGCAAAGTACTTCTTCAAGGAGCCGGAAAGGTCGCTTAGAGAAACTGATGGAAAAGGGCCAACTGGGAAGCTCATTAGAATGGAAGTCATCTCTGGGAGTGCCCCTAGGTCCTGCCTTCATTACTTGGAGGACTGCTTTTGTACACCTCGCCATCAGGGGCCCACGCTCCCTGGGAGTACCCATTCTCTTCTTCATCTTAGGCTGTAAACCCGCATCAGAGGCAGAGGCCTGGCAAAGGCCCATTACTCACTTTTAATGAGACAGCCAGGGAAATAAATTGGCATATGTTAGCAAAATGGCTCATCAAGGTGAGTAATTATCTTCACGACTGGGGCAGTTTACCCTCCAAAGAAAGAATTTGCATCTCATCTCTCACTGGGCGGTGGCTCTTCAGAACTAGGGCAGGAGGACACGCAGCACTTGACCACGGAGCACATATACCTCTACTTGCCTAGTCTTGCTGTTCACCACAGCCTGGTCACTCCCCAAATACCAAAGCTTTTGTGGGATACACTGCACAACTGACCATACAGGAAAAGAAACCCAGAGGAGAAACAAAAATACAAAGAAGTTCTTTTATATGTTATGGAGCAGTGCGTGCACATGTGTGCCTCTGCAGTGGGACAGGCCAGCCATTCCACACAGCATGTGGGAGAAACTATCAGGGAATGGTTCTGAAAGCCTCTACTAATTAAAATGACTTTCTTCTTAGTTTTGAGCCAAACTTTAATTAAAGTCCTATATTTACTCCTTTGCTTGCTTGTGCATTGATATTGTGCCTTGTACAATTATCATCTTGTGCTGTCCAGGTATGTAACTGCCTTTTCCCCACGTTTTACCATTTTAGAGGGAGATTACCTTATTATTATTTTTTCTGTCTTACAGATATTAGTTCTGTCTTCCAAGACAAATCCTAAGCTACTTAAAGACAGAGACAAGTGTGTCTCCTTGGCTTCTGTCCCCTATGGCATTTGCCACAGTCTCAGGGTACAGAAGACAATGTCATAGAGTAAGTCTCTACCTGGTCTTAACATCAAGAATGCTGGGTTTCTTCTGAAGGTGTACACGCAGGTAGCTGATGCTATTTTCCTTTAGACGTTGGCTATCAGGAGGTACAGAGCTAATTTGCTGCCCAATCCTGGTTCACAGCGTGCTTTGTGCACCAACTTCGCCCTTCCTGCCACTGGATTTTCTATTTTAACCCCCTAGATGATGAGCTCTATGTGGACAGGCCCGTGTCTGTCATTAAGTTCCACTCTATCTCCTTTCCAATGTTCAGCACCATGCCTGGCACTCAATAAACACAGAGTGAATGGACTTTGAGTTTTGCAAATTTTGCATCTTTGTGTGCTACTTAAACGTTATTGAAAACAAAGTAGGAAGAGCATACAAACACCCAAAACCTCACACTAATAATTAAAGAACGTACTTGGCAAATAATTACATTTGATTGTATGTGTTGAAGGTGTTGAAATTTACAATTAAAGTGGGCTGAGCTTGTTGGGTCTCTGGTTGCGGTGTTTATATTATAATAAATTTTCTACTCACACTGATGGGGAAATATCTAAATGGCTTTATAGGAAGGTTTTCAGTCTTGTTCAGTCTGGAATTGGGTTACTGCAGGAGGTTTCTTTCATTCTTCATTCTTACTGGGGTTGAAATTCTCAAAAAGGGCATTGGCAAGAACTTTATAAAATCCTGAATGAATCGATGGTTGAGAAGGTATTTCAAAAGTCACACCTTCTCTGTTAGCATCACTTCATCTGGGGGCAATAGGGCTGACATTATGACTTATTACACAGGAAAGGGACCCTGGTATGGCAAAGCTGATGGCATGGCTCACATTTGGATGACAACTGGAAAATTTGACCAAGAAACCAACCATCTTCAGTATCTAGATGTGTGACACTATGAGTTGCATAGACTACATTAAGTGAGCAGGTTTCTGAGGTTCCCTGGGGGTGTTTTAGACCTGGCAGGGCTGCTAATCAGATAAGGCCGTTCCCTCAAGTCTGGGGCTGAGTGCTGGGTGAGGGAGCTTAGACCAAAGATGCAAGGGAGGCAACACTTGCCGAGCACATTCAGAGCCCTTGTTGGGCCTTCTGAGAGGAGACGGTTTTCTAGACCCCACTGGGGTCCTCTGACGACACTCACCGTTTCTGTCGATAGCAAAAGGCACATCTGTGGTGACGATTTCATAGTTGCAGATCTGGCTGTACTGGGGGGAGCAGTCCTCATCAACAGCCTCCACCTGCAGAATGCTGTCGTAGATCCTGCCCTCCGTCACGACAGTTCTGTAGGCTGGCTCTTTGAAGGTGGGAGCAAACTCATTGACATCCTTCACCTGGATATGGACCACGGCCCTGGGACCACACACAGAAAGGAAGGGATAGCGGTAAAGAGAGATTCACACTAACCTCCTGCACCTCCTGGGGGCACTGAGTCCCAAGGCCGAGCGAAAGCTGGTGGGAGCAGTTGTCTGAGTGTCCTATCCTCCCTCTCACTGGAGACCCTCTACTTGCCCTTGCTGTGACGCTCTTAGATGAATCCATCCCAGAGAGACTTCTAAGCCCTTCTCTCTGCCCCAGCTTTAGGCAACCGATTTACTGTTTCATTCTTCCCTCTATTCATCCACTCCTCCATTCAGTAACAATTTAACCCCTCTTACTCTGTTAGGCTCTGAGATGAACTTCATAAGGGACAAAGCAGTGACAACCCACAGTGAAAAGTGCTGTGACAGAGAGAATCTTATGGCACTGCAGAGGCCCAGGGAAAGGTCCTGACCAGATCTGCAGCGGTGGGTCACTTAGGGAAGGCTTCCTGGAAGAAGTGACCCCTAAACTCAGACCTGAAGGTGAAACGGGAGTATCTTTGGGTGAAGAAGAGGGAGTAGAGTATTCCAGGTGTAGAAAGCAGACTGTGAAGATGCCTGCAAGGGACTGGAGAACTGGCAAGCAGCTGAGCAAAGTCGGAACACCATGGTGTCACAAGAGGGTAAACACATCTGAAGAGCAGCATGTGAATGAAGTGGGGTGGGCCCAGGGCACAGGAGGGAGGGGCATCCAGAGGGCTCTGTCAGGCCACTCACTTGTGTGACTTTTTCCAGGCTGTCTCCTGGGGCCCAGCACCACAGTCATAGGCCTGGATGATGAATGTGTACTCCTTCTGCAACTCACAGTCAATGGGGCTCTTAGCACGGAGCTGGCCCTCCCCTGATGTCTTGTTGAGCACCACGGCCTCAAAGGGCAGCTCCTGGCCGTGGATCTTGAACGCACAGATCTCCCCTGCAGAAGGATGGAAGACAGTGAGTGGGAATCCTGAGAACTCCCAGATTGAAGACAGGGCTTCCACTGGAACAGATTCGCAAACTCAAAACCTCCATGCAATTCATTCCACACACATAGCATGGACCATGAGCCAGTAACATTAGCATCACCTGGGAGCTTCTCAAAAATACAGAATCCCATGCTCCCCCAGACCTCCTGAACTGGATCTGCATTTCAACAGGATCCTCAAGTGATGTGTTTGCTCACTAATGTAGGAGCAGCACTGTGTCTCTCCTTCCTTTACTAGATTGCCTCAGCTAAATTCCCTCACCTCTCCCACTTCTCCATTTTCTGTCTCCAGCCATGACTTCCCCTTCCAAGCTGCAGTTTTCTCTTTTAAAACAGTGGGGGAGAGTCTATGTGAGCTCCCGAGTTCCAGAGTCCCTGTGGAGCCTGAAAAGCTAACATCTTAAAGAGCTGAACACGTTGTGACATTAATGCATTTCTCTCCTTCAGTTGGGTTAATGTTTATGATAACTATTTCTATGCATCAAAATGATAAGGCCATGAGAATATCTCCTCTTCTTCTCAATCAATGTATGTTTATTTATTGAACCCCAACTGCACGCAAAACCTGTTATGCATGTCTTGGGAAGTGCTGAAAATTTGATACGTGTCCTCTGTCCCTATTGAGAAAATTCCCAGACTGGTTGGAGAGATGAGATGTAGCTGTCCAGAGAGATCATACAGTGGAAAGTGGTACGTGAGCACCATGTTTTCCACAGCTGAAAGAATTCAGCTATAGGCTTCAAGGGAGCAAAACAGAGGCCAAGAGCCCAGAGGCCTAGATTCACATTCCAGGCAGGCCACACTAATTGGCTTCAGTCAAATTATATTGACTGTCTGGGTCTCTACTGTGTCATCTGTAAGATGGTCCCAGAGATGGTGGGGAGAGGGGGGCATCTACCCTAAGATGTCCCAGCCCTGGTCTGAACTGTCTCAGCTGCACTGCTGAGGCCAGGGAGGGGCAAACAAGGAACCTAGGGTGCACCATTTAACAAGGCCTTGCTCTCAGGGTAACCCAGGCACCTCCTTGCCTCACCCTAGTTCAGGTCCTGCTCAGCTATTCATAAGAGCCGACACAGTGATGAGAAGGAATAACATGACTGCATGCTTGCTGTGCACCAGGCACTGAGCCTTCTATGTCTACCCAGGGAACCTCCTTTGACCTTCATAAGAAACCTGCAAGGCAAGTCTTTTATACCAATTTATTCAAGTTTTTTAAAAAAGAGAGAAAAATCAGAAAGGTTAAATACTTGCTCAAGGTCACAGAGCTAAAGTTGAATATTAAACCCAGGTATGGCTGATTCCTTAGTCCATGTACTTTCTACCCCACCACACCATCTCCAAGCAACCCCATAATTTCTAAGTAACTACCCCATGGATTGCTTCCAGAAACCATCTACATTCTAATCATTCTAATTCTAGTCTCCTTCAGGAAAGAAATCCTCAGATTTACATATAGGAAGCATGCCATGACCTCTTACTAACACTGTTTTCCAAGATGTTCAATCAATACCAATCTTACGTTTATGCTTTTTTTTTTTTAAAAAAAAAGTGATGCTCAATTTCATTATTAACATACCCTTTTCACTACCACCCCTATCTCCCAACCCCCACCACCACCCCTCCTAGCCATTTCTCAATGTATTTGTAGAACAAACGGAAAGACACATTGTGGACCCCCTTCCAACAAGAAGGCTGGTTCCCATTCACTTCTGTTTCTCGAGATCACTTGGCGTTTCTGTACTGTGCATTCTGACAAGTTCTGCAGCCTTCAGGGCAGGAGAATACGGTTTCTCAAATTCTCAAGTATAATTTCTGCTCTTAATTAGCAGGGCTGAATAGATGAACCTCTAAAGTGCCTGCCTTGTGATTCTCTCCCAAGATCAATGCCAATATGAGAATATTACCAACAAATGTGTCTAGACTGTTTCTGGGGCATTCTCTGGAGTGCCCAACCACTACCATGGCTATAAGGCTAATTAGACCATTTGTCTTTGAAGACTCAAGTTAAATCTAGAATTGATGAGTGTAATCTTCTCTTGGAAAGATCTGATCAAAACCTAAGTACTTCTCAAGACTCAGAAATCCTTAACAACAGAAAAGGAGAGGAGAGAGGGAAAGAAGATAGAGAGGAAAGAGGATATACAAAGAGAAGGCAAGATAAAGTTTAGGTGACATATTTCCATCTACTGAACAACTCAATTCAATAGAACTAACTTTTCTGAGAGTTGACTGTCTCAGGCACTGTGCCAGGCGTGGGTACACAAAGGCCAACAACTTGGGTGCCTTAAAATATAAGGAGGCTTTATCCTTAGGTAAAGTACTTTTTATCCAGCAGAAAAAGACAGACAAGTAAGCAAGGACAACCAAGATCCACTTCGTTCTCATCAAACCCTGGAAGAGAACCTAACATTCATGTCACCCTCATTAATCCTACCTCTTTACCTGACACTTGGATTCTGGTTGCAAAACCATTCATTCGCTTATTCATCCACCTCATAAACATTCATTAACCTAAAAAATATTTATTAGAGACTATGTACCAAGCACTGCTAAAGCACTAATTAATAAAACTGGACCAAGCCCTGGCCTGCAAGTTGCTTGCAGTCTGGTAGGAAGGGTAATAAGAGGTCAAATCATCAGTACCTGAAAGAAGGATGGTGATTGTGATGAGTACATTAAAGGAGAGCTATGTGGTGCTGAAAGTATTCTGACCTGGTCAGGCTAGGCAGGGAGGGCCTCACTACGTATATGATGCCTTAGGACCCTTCAGCAGAAAGGAACATGCTGAGTCCAAAAGACTGCAGGTGCAGTATGGCAGGAGTGGAGGCCATGCGGCAGGGCCAGCTTCACAGGCGTGTGACCTGAGAGCCACCCCGGGTCCTGTGGTCAGAAGCATCCTGAGTTTGGTTTAAATCTCTGCTCTCTCTGTCTTGATTTTTTTAAAGGTGGGGTCTTGCTTTGTCACCCAGGCTGGAATGCCGTGAGGTAATCATAGCTCACTGCAGCCTCAAACTCCTGACCTCAAGCAATCCTTCCCATTTAGCCTCCTGAGTGGCTGAGGCTACAGATGTGTGCCACCAACAGCTAGCTAATTTTTTTATTTTGCAGGAACAGGGTCACATTATTTTGCCTAAGCTGGTCTCAAACTCCTGGCCTCAAGCTATTCTCCTGTCTCGGCCTCCCTAAGTGCTGGGATTACAGGCACGAGCCACTGTGCCCAGCCTTGAAGTTCTTAATAATTTTATCTTTGAATGTGTGTTTTGTGAAAAAGGTCTGTTGGGACAATGGAGCATGTTATGAGCAGAGGACAGGGGTGCAATATGCACGTCCGCCACGTCTTGCTGCCCCATTTTAATATAGCATTCAGAATTCCCATGGACCCACATCGTGTGGGATTTCAGTGGGACTCAGAGCGAGAAAAAGGTAATCATGTTATGTCTTCAAGAAAGTAGGAAGCCGACCTCCCCAAGAGGCCACACTTTCCCATAGAACAAGAACTTGTTTCAAATGCAAAAAGAGCAGAAAACTAAGAAATGTGAACAACCAAGGAACTTATTCATGTTACATCCTGTGTTAGCCAATCACTTACACTGAAAATGCTGGCAGAGAGGAAAAGGGAAGATCAGACGACCCATTGCTTGTTTTCTTTTCAGGCTGCCCTTGCTATCAGTTACCCAAAAGTAGAGAGTCACATTCACATGAACATAAAGATGGGGAATAGACCCTAGGGAATACAAACGGAAAGACAGAGGCAGGTAGGCAAGGTTAGGAAAACTACCTATTGGATACTATGCTCACTTTCTTGGTGAGGTAATCAATCGTACTCCAAATTCTAGCACCAAGCAATATACCTTCGTAACAAACCTGCACATGTACCCATGGAATCTAAAATAAAAGTTGAAAAAGAAAAAAAAAATGAAATTAAAACTGTTGAGTTTGTTTCATGCAGTATTTATCGTATTGAGGTAAGAATTAAATACATACGCATGCATGAACTACAAAATACAAATTCTGTAATTTTGGTATTCCACAGGCTAGTTAAATGCTCTTATATTTGCATTTAAAAATGGACATTGCATAATAGAAATAGAAAAATTAAAATTCGAGCTAATAATTTAAAGTTTTAACTATATCTTCACATAGAACTATACCAAACAGAAGTTTTAAAACATCATGACAAGTTGAAAGAGAGACTTCTGGAAGAAAGGTCCCAGGATGAAATTCTAGAAAGATATTTAAAACTGCAGTTCTCAATGTCAGTGTAAGACAGACACATTGTGCTGTCTTGCGTCTCATATAAGAACTTTTTTTGTGAGGCGTGTCACTAGAATTTGTTACCATACTAACAGAGGATAAACTAAGTCAAAGGTCAGACCTACTTGTTTTCATATAAAGAGATCACTTTCGGAACCCTGCCCTCCAATATGCCTTGGGTGGAAGAACTGCTGCCATGCCAGGAACTGAGTGTGGACAACACACAGATGAGCATGGGCGTGAGGCTAGCCATGGGCTGCCTGGAGAACGATACCAGCAGCACCAGGCCACCAGGCCTTGGCCGCCATCTCACATGGGTTGTGGCCCAAGGTGGCTGAACTGGGGCTTCACCAAGAGCCCCCTTCAGAGCCAGACCAGAAGGCGAGCCCCTGCTGTGCCTGAGTGAGACGTGATGACCCCGGCCCCTCAGTCCTGTGAGCACGTGTCTCACAGTTACCCGCTCCTCCGCAGAAACGCGCCTCCTAAGACACCGGTGCCAGTTGTAGTCATCTCTTAACACCACGCAAAGGCTTCTGGGGGAAAGGTGTCTAACTTGATTTTTAGAGTACATTTTGCTCCTTCCTTTGAATACGTTCGAACAGCAAAGTATGTTAATTTTATTTTTTAGATGAGCTTCAGAGAGATTAAGTGTTTGTCCCAGGTCCCTTGGTCAGTATGAAGCAGGTCAAGCACTG